AGCCTAAATTATTTTACCTACAAAATGCAGATACTGCTTATTTTTCAGGCTTTTTGGTGAAGATTAAAAGAGATTATAAATAACCCGGTGGCCCACTTTCACATTTGCAAGCACTGAATAAATGCTGGCAGACTTCCTCTGCCAGTCTCTCCCTTTGACTTCCCCACCCTCAGCCCCGGTTAACATAAGACACCAAAACATGATCATCTTGATCTTAAAAGTCTCCAGGAAAGCTCACGAGTTAGGTTGTATTCATCCTCCCATAGAACTGGGCCACATGCTGGTATGTGAAGTGAGTCCTGGCTTCTGCTACACTGAAGGCTGTAGAAACCCCAGGTCTGTTGTGAAACCAGAGGGGCTGCCATCCGACAGGACTAAGCACGAAACAGGTGTGCCCTCAACTCCAGAGTTAACTCCATTAGCAGAAAGAAGAACAATAGAGAAGGATTCTTCCTGGAGTACGTCCAAACCTGGTCCTCATCCTCCCGTAAGCCGACCAGGTTACCAGTTTTTTAATTTCAGCAGATGGCACCCATATCCCTTCATCCTCTCAGGCCAGAACCTAGGATGTATCCTTGACTCCTCTTGATTCATCCCTGACTAATCTAAAGAGTTGTCTTCATATTTCCTGTCCTGTAGACCATCTGTCCGCAGGTCCCAGAGTCTGCCTCTATAGGATATGAATCCAAGCACTTCTTCCCATCACTGTCACACCCCCATCTAAATCACCAATGCATTTCCCCACTAAATTAGTGCAAAAGCATCGTAAGTAGTCTTCAGCCCTGTCCAGGGCTATCTCCCGTTCATTCTCCAAGGAGCCAGAGTGATCTTTCTAAAGCATTAATCGGATGTCTCACTTTATTAAAATGTTCCACTGGCTTCCCTCACACTTAGAATGGAACTGAAATTCCTCATCACAGCTTTAAGGCTTGACCTGAATCCACCACCTCCCGTCCTCCTGCCTTCCACCTCCCATGCAGCATCTTCCAGCCCCACTGTCCTCTACACCTAGGAGGTCCTCACCTTCCCCTTTCCCCAGAGTGCCCTGTAGATCAAAGGCAGCCAATGCAGTAGGCCTTCCCTCACCACCCGAAACAAATATGCTTTCCATCACCCTTGGACTGGTAGCCTGTTCTAGTTTCTTCATGCCTTTATCACTAAAATGCCCCTACTTCTTTTGTGCTTATTGTCTCTCTCCCCACCAGAAGGTATGCTCTATGAGGGCAGAGATTTTATCTTGTTCAGTACTGTATCCCCACAGTCTCCAACAGTGCCTAGGGCATGGATGCGTGCATGCTCAGTCATTTCAGTCTTTGCATCCCATGGACGGTAACCTGCCAGACTCCTCTGTTCATGGGATTCTCCAGGCAAGAATACTGGAGTGGGTTGTCGTGCCCTCCTCCAGGGGATCTTCCCAACCCAGGGATCGAACCCTAGTCTCCTGTGTCTCCAGCACTGGCAGGCAGGTTCTTTACCACTAGCGCCACCTGGGCGTGGTGAGAACCTAATAAATATTTGTTGACTGAAGAGCGTTTTACTGTCTCATACCAGCCCACACAAAAACGGTATGGCCATTTTGCAAAATTTAGAACCTTCCACATTATCCCCAACTGATGGAAATAGTGTCCCTGGCATGTCACCTAAACATTTCCAGTTCTCTGACTGAACAAGGAGGTATTCTTGGGATTCTACAAGTTCCATAATAACTAAAAAAATTTTTTTTTCTACAAGTTCCACAATAATTAAAAAAAAATTTTTTTTCATTGTCCTGAGTACTTAATTCATATGAGCATATTCTAGATTATCTACAGTGGAGGTAAACTGTACAGTGGAGTGAAGCCTTCACTGCCTCTGGTTTGCTAATATGCATCCTGGTCTGCTAGTGGTAAAGAACCCACCTGCAATGCAGGAGACATAACAGGTGGGGGTTCGATCCCTAGGTTGGGAGGATCCCCTGGAGGAGGAAATGACAACCCACTCCAATAATCTTGCCTGAAGAATCCCATGGACAGAGAAGCTTGGAGGGCTATAGTCCATAGGGTCACTAAGAGTCTGACACAACTGAAGCGACTGAGCACACAGACATACATCCTGATCCCAACGGGATGGGGGATGTGTGAGGATTCTGCTTCTGGAAGAACATACCCATCCACATCAAACGCATACATTGAACTCCAAAGCTTTCATTTTATAAAAAAATTATGTATGTTACTCACCTCTGTTGGCCCTTAATCTCCCCAGCTTTAGCAAAAAGTAGAGTCAGTTAATTAATTCTTTAATGGAAAATTAATTCTCATCCTGATATGAAAAAGAAAAGGAAAATGATATTCTGGTATTTCAAGGACAAGACAGAACCAGATATACTGGCCGCTAGTCATTCCCTGAGGACACCATTGCTGTAGGCTTTGAACTCTGAAATGCCCTTTCATCTTTGCTCTTCCCTATTTAACATATTCATTTATTCCTCCAGTAATTATTTGCACTGCATCAGGTAAATCTGGAGTTTATAATGATCTCAACAAGCAGAGTATTTCTCATGGTGTTAATTAGTTCTCAAAAGTAAATAAGCATGAGAATTTGGCTTCTGTGGTGGCTCCAATGGTAAAAATTTGCCTGCAATGCAGGAGACCAGGGTTTGATCCCTGGGTCAGGAAGATCCCCTGGAGGAGGGCATGGCAATGTACTCCAATATTCTTGCCTGGAAAATCCCATGGACAGAGGAATCTGGCAGGCTACAGTCCATGGGGTTGCAAAGAGTCAGACATGACTGAGTGACTTTCACTTTCATGAGAATTTGGGGAAAGACTTTAAATGTAAATTCCTGAAAACCATCCCAAGACATTTTCTCAGTACATCTGGACTGGTACTTATGAATCTGAATGCTTAAAAAGCAACCTAGTGTATTCCACACAGTAAAATAATATTCAAGACTTGAGAGAGAAGAAAATGCTAAAATACATGCTGATGTGGATAAACCCCAGGGACATTATGCTAAGTGAAATGAATCAGTCACCAAAAGACAAATATTATATGATATTGTATGATTTCATTTATAATGTATGGTATATCTAAAATAGTCACATTCATAAAATCAAAAAGTAGAATGGTAGTTGCTAGGGATTAGGAAAGTGTAAAAGCATTAGTTGCTCAGTTGCGTCCAACTCTTTGTGACCCCATGGACTGTAGCCGACCAGACTCCTGTGTCCATGGTATTCTCCAGGCAAGAAGAATGGGGCTTCCCTGATAGCTCAGTTGGTAAAGAATCTGTCTGCAATGCAGGAGACCCTGGTTTGATTTCAGGGTCAGGAAGATCCCCTGGTGAAGGGATAGGCTACCCACTCCAGTATTCTGGCCTAGAGAATTGCATGGAGTGTATAGGTCATGGGGTCGCAAAGAGTCGGACACGACTGAGCAACTTTCACTTACAGGCAAGAACACTGGAGTGGGTTGCCATTCCTTTCTACAGGGATCGAACCTGCGTCTCCAGCATTGCCGGCAGATACTTTATGGTCTGAGCCACCAGAGAAGACCACGGGGGCTAGGAGGAGGGGATAGATGAGAGTTACTGATCAATGGACATGAAGTTTCCATTAAACCAGATAAATAAGCTTTAGAGATCTGCTGTACGCTATATCTAGAGCCAACAGTGTTGTATTGTGCACATAAAAAATTGTTAAGAGTGTAGACCTCGTGTTAGTTCTTCTTACTACAATAAAATAAATTTTTTAAAAAAGAAAAAAAAAGCGAAGACCAATGGTACAGAATAAATCAGACTTATAGCAACAATGGTTTAAAATGTTAGTTTTTTTCTTATGTGTTTAATTCTTCTTAATTTATAGCTGGGAAAATAGCACTTATATGTCCATTCTTTTACATTCAATTTTTTAATTGAAAAAAAAAATTAAAAGTCCAAGTCCCTATACTAGAGAAAGTCAGTTCTCTAAGTGTGCGTAAGGATGTTCCCATGACTGTTGATCGGTACTGGTATTCCTGTGGTCATGCTGGCTTCTCAGTGATAAAGTTTTTAAGCTTATTAAATGTTTGCTCTTTTGTGTATGGCAATCTTATATATTTACATGACACGGCATTTGTCTTTTGTTAGTTTTTTTGGAGCTTCTGAGAATCCCATTTGCTGGGAGATATTTAGTGTTATGTGAGCAGGTGATGCAAAGAGAATAAGTGAGAAACACAAGAGGAAGGGAGAGCAAAGGGGACTCTCCCATCATCACAGCTGAGAGACAAGAGCATGAGGCGGTTAAACACACGGTCTGGCATCAGGAAGATCTCAACTCTGGCCATTACGGTTCCACAACCCTGGTCAAGTTATTTAACCTCCCTGTGCTTTGGTTCCTCATCTGTAAAATGGGAATGATGAACACTTATTACATGTAGTTGTTGAAAGTGAAGCTGTTGTCAGGGACCCTGGCACAAAGTGGGTGCTCAAAAGTTCTACAAGGTTGACATTCATTCTTGCTTTGCTCAGGCTCTTTGCTGCTTGCCTTTGTTCCTGTTCAGACCCCAGAATCTGCCATGTGGATGTCTTACACAAGAAGCCATTTATGTTATTGACAGTGAATAATCTAATTGAATAGACAGAAGGCCAAGGTCCGCACTGTGTGTTGCCACTGAGTAGCTGTATAATTTTAGAAAACTTTCTTAACCTCTTTTCTTCTTTAAAAGAGAGATGATTGAAGCTTGGAAGAAGAATATCCTTCAAGGTTTAAAATATTATTCAAGTGAAAATGAGCAATTTGGAATGCAGAGATGTGAAGTCATGAAGATTTCTGAAGTATTCATTGTTGCCGGATCTTTTCTGTTGGCGGAGGCGTTTAAATTCCACCAGGAGCATCACCTCATCCATTTTAACCTGTGGTCCCTGTGAATGAGGCACTGCCTCTCTGTGTCTAATGGTCAGATACCACTGCCCACGTGGCAAAGGCTGAGGAAATGCATGGTGAGGAGAGCCTGCCCCATCAACTTTGTTTCCCGTGTGTTTACAGGTGTCACCAACCCACAGTCACCCGGCGGGCACAGGAGAGCAGAGACCGCACACTCACACCATCCTGTCCTCCCCCCCAAGAGGGACGGTCAGCCTGAGGTATGAGTGCTTGAAACCCCACGTGCCTCCTCTCTAGGGAATTAGCCAAAAACAGAACCGCAAGGAAGAGAGAAACCAGAGATACAGTCTTCCATAAAATTCCCCTGGAATGGCTGAAACACCCATTCTTTTGTTCCCATGGTTCCCCCCATCCATTAACTATTAATAAAGATTTTTCATTTTTCTGGGGCAACAGTTTATGGTTAGTTCTCTTGCAGAATAGGTAATGCTGATTACTGGGTCTCTTTAAAGGCATGTTGCATTAACCTCGGTATGATATGAATTTTAGTTTTTAACCCAGATCAAGGAGGACCTCCCCAGGATTCCCTTGACCAGAACGCTAGACATTTGAGAAGCCAGGGACCACTTGAAAGTACATATTTAAAAACGTGAAAGAGTAGGGCTCACTGCTGTTAATTCTTATATTTGCTCATGTAATTCAGTGTAATGAAGATTCCCAATGGACATGTCTCTAAATGGACATGTAGAAGCTGAAGAAGGCTGTAAGTACTCTTAAAAGTAGCAAATTTTAACAGTTCAGTGAAGGGCCTCCCACCTGACTCAGTGGTAAAGAATAGGCCTGCCAATGCAGGAGACACGGGTTCCATCCCTGGGTCAGGAAGATCCCCTGGAGTAGGAAATGGCAACCCACTCCAGTATTCTTGCTGGAGAATTCCATGGACAGACTGACTGGCTACAGCCCAAGAGGTTGCAAAGAGTCAGACAAGACTGCGCGCAGGTGAGTGATGAAGTATGGTGAAAACATCCCACACAGGTTAACCTCTGTACCTAGAGAGATCTCCTGAGGTGTGGCCTAACTTTTTCTAGAGCTTTCCAGGGATTCTGAGGTCTTCAAAGAATGCCTCTAGAATCCCTCGCACTGAACGCCGTTTCCTGGCCTGTCTTACAGGAAGCCCAGGGGAGAGGGCAAGAAGTGCCGGAAGGTGTATGGTATGGAGAACCGGGATATGTGGTGCACAGCCTGCCGCTGGAAGAAGGCCTGCCAGCGTTTCATTGACTGATGCGTGGGCCCCTAGCCCGCCCCAGCCACTCCTGCCCTCGTGTTCTTCCGAGGGTGTTGAAAAGTGCTTTTCCTTCCGTACCAAACCGACTTGAAGCCCAGGGAAAGCACTTCTAGGAACCTTGGTGAAATCACAGCAAAAAAACAAAAAAGGTCACCACCTTCCCTGTTCTTGCTGAGAACCCAGCTGAGAGCAGCTGTAACTATTCTTTTCCTTAAAAAGAAAAGTCAACTTTTTTTTTTTTGCTGTAGGTCTGGGTCTGAAAACTGTGGACTTCTGTAGCAATCGAACCAACCAAGCCCATTTTTCCTAGAAAGGAGGCCTATTTTGATAAACTTTCTCAATAATACCATTTCTGAGATTTTTTTTTTTGACACTTAAGAAGCTACAAGTTACTCAGTAGCATTTGTATAAAGAACAATAGCTGTTTTCATTGTAAAGTCTTTTCCCTGTTCTCCATCGGACTTCTGGGAGCAGTTCACATCATGATGTGTTGCCAGGAAGTGGCAGCACTCTGGGTATCTTTTCTATGTCTTTTTTGTTTGTTTTGTTTTGTTTTGAAGAATGGCCCCAAATTGAACCATGGTAGAGCTGTTAGCTTGAAGGGCCCTTGAGGGCATAAGCCCAAAAAGAGATTGATAGTGGACATCACCAGCAGATTTCAGCCCCAGCTGAGTTCAGGACATCCCGCGTCACTGTTGGAAAACGTCTGGGAGTCTTCCTCAGAAGCCCCACCCTGAGAGATGGCCCCACCTACTTTCTCCTGGCTACAGTGCACTCAAGACCTGATGTGTCGCCATCTGGGTAAGCCTCAAAGTCTCCTTCAGTGATGCGAAGCCAACCCCAGCTCAGATCTGTTCATCACTGTTCATCTGACAGTTGTTGCCGGGTCAGTGGCTCATCAGGCCTTCAGCAGACTGGTTTCAGAAAAGGTAGAGAACTCAGACCATCCCAGCAGGTTGCTTCAGACCATGCAGAGCACAGCCTCCATGCGTTCAGAAAGTCATGTGAGGTCAACATCCATCCTGAGTGCACTTTTATAGGTTTTAGGCTTTAGTGTGTCTGGGAGATGGGTTCATGAACACTATAAAGATTATATGGGGTAAGGGAAGGTCCAAACCTTTATTTTTCTTATCAGAATATTGGAGCTATTCATTAAGAATTTGCTCAGAAGGGAATGTACAAAACACCAAAAGGAAATTGCGTGTTGGTATAGGAATCTCTCAATTCAATAGGACCAGGGCTTGCACTGTGTTCCATTTATTAGACTTTCTAGCCTGGTGTGTGTTTGTTCGTCCGTCTTGCTAGGAGTGGTGCCAGGACAGGGGTAGTTCTCAAGCCCTATAAATAAGCTCATTCTCTGTCTACCCTCCTCTTGATCGCCCTGAGTTATTTGTCCTGTACCTATGCAAAGACGCAAGAGCACCTTATAGGATGCACCGTGTGGGACGGGGGCCTAGGATCAGCCATAGGAATGTTGAATGAAATTGCACAGAGCAAAGTTTAATATATTTAGAGGTTGTACATACACTTTTTTTTTAAAGAGTAGAAAGAAGTCATCTAGTCATAACAGATATCCTTTTTTTTTTTAAAATACACAAGGGGAAAAAGGAGGTTCTACAATGTAACAATCTGTGCTTTCATGTATTTTGGCAATTTTATTTTTTAAACTCTCATATGACATTTGAAGAATTATTCCTTGAAAGAGATCCTGTTTTCCTCCTTCATTTTTCTTTAAAAACACTTTAAGAGAGCAGAGAAAGAGCTTCTCTTTTAATATCACATTGTGATTACCAATCAGTACAGTACTAGCTATAGTATATGTTTTAGCACTGATAAGGTCAGCCAGGAAAGGGTTTTTTAAGAACAGAAATGTATTTGCACCCTCTATCCCAGCCTGTCTTTTCTTCTCCCTGGTATCCTGCTGCTTCACCCACTGGCATCTCAGCTAGGAGGTGACGCTCTGGCCTGAACCAGGAAGCCCTGCGCTGTGACTGGACTGCCCAGCGGCCACAGTGCCCACTGGTGAGTCCCAGACTGGTCAGCCATGAGCAGGCTCACTGTGGACTTCAGTGCTGTTGGGTGTAACCCTGGAGGAGAGGGTTTTCTCTCCAGCAAAGTTCCATGGCCCTTGCTCCTTGGATTAAATCACTAATCAAAAGAGATTAAAATGGCAAGGGGTTAAAGCTATCCCCCCACTCCCAGAACTTTGGGAGAGATGGTGGCTATGGACAGTCCTGGCATGAGGCTCTGTGATTCTGCCCCGAGAGGGACAGTCCATGACTAGTTCTGGGCTCTGGCCTGGCTGAGCCAAGCTCAGTCCTTACCTGATTATTATCTGATGCACGGGGGTAAGCAGAAGCGTAGATCTGAATGCAGCTTCCCTGGGATTTCTTCTCCTTTCTGAAACCTTCTTCTCACACACTCTCCACATCTCTGACCCATGCGGGGCTCCTTTCTTCAGGCCAGCCTGGGGCTCTGCGTGTCCTCTGCTCCAACTTCAAGGTGGGCACAGACCCTCAGTACTTCCTGCACACAGACACCTATTCTCTGCACCAGGCATGTTATGACTAGGGGACCACCAGGCTTCACCTGGCTGGCCTTGAAGAAAAGGGATAAAATTTCTTTCAAGCCACCCAGAAAGCTACAAATTGTAATATACAAAACTGATTGTAAATGCTAAAATTAAAAAAAAAAAAGGTAGAGATATTTTGGAACTAAATGATGTGCCAAATTAAGCCCAGGATTTATTTTACACCTTCTTTGTGGTACCATGTTCTTTTGTGTCTTCATTTGTCAGGGGGAGGAGGGAGATGAGTGAGAAGGAAGTCCCAGGGCACGAAGCTGCTTAATGGGAGCCCCGCCTACCGTAGGCAGCTCAGAGAATGTGCAAAAGGAATGGCAAAGGCAATGCGTTCTGGTCCCAGAATCTTTCTAAAGAAGGCATGTGGTAGCCTTTGACTTTTCTCTCCCCGATGCCCCTTCCTGCAGAAAAGATTTCTCATCTCTCTCCAAAGAAGTCACTCCCTGGTGATGGACAGGCTTCTCCAGATAGCTGCACAACAGACAGCAGTCATTTTAAGCCTTAGTCCTTCCCAGAAGATGAGTGGGAGGCAGTGTGGCCACCTGGAGGAAACATCCGGTAGCAAGTGGGTGGGAAGCCAGAGATGGGATACAGGAGGACTCTGGACCGCTGACTGGGGTTCACCATCCTAGTGCGGATCAGCTGGTGGTGACTGTCCCTGGGCATCTACAAGGGAGCTGCCATGTTCCCATCCGAGGAGCCACTGCTTAAAGCCAAGAGACAGCTCCTTCATGGGAAGAGCACGGGTAGGGATGCTGCGTGCCCCATGCACATCCTCGGTGGGAACGTGCTACTCTCCTCCTCGCTTGCTGAAAAGTTCCCTCCATTGTTTGGCGAAAGCCAGTGTCAGGAAGAGGGCAGTGGGTTTCTGAGCAGGAATGTGCGTGCCTGTCATCAACTCCGTGCACCAACAGGGCGGGTGCCCTTTATGAGAGGAGTTTTTGTCCAGTCATAACCTTGTTGCAGATGAAAACTTTTCAATAGAGAAAGATGCACGTTACAGTTCTTGGACTTTCCAACAAAGTTTTTTTTTTTTTTAAGTTACGTGTATGTTGTAAAAAGTGTCTGAAATTAACATGCCCTCTATCAGATTTCAAGATCACTTGAAGTCTACTGTCATTGATGTCACACTAAGCCACACTCAAAAGCAGTTCTGAATTGGCCAGCACTGCTCAACCCATGTCCGCCTCCATCTGACTTCATTGGAAAAGGAAAACGCAGCATTCACTTGGGAAAGTTTAGGGAAAAGTGGCACAAACTGTACAAATGGGAGAGAATACCTTGAGAATAGTAGCAAAATACTGTAAAAAAAAAAAATCATTTCCTCAGGGAAAACTAAAGGGTATATGAAAAGTGGATCTGGAGAATTTTAAGACTAGAAAGGTTTTTTATTATCTCCAGCATCTTTTCTGGTCAGAATAATTTCTGTTTGTTTTTTAATGAACATACCATTTCATGACCAATTTCCATGAACTGGACAGTACAAACTTTTTGAGGTGTGGAGGAATGCTCTATGAAACAGAGCAGTTTCTTTGTTTCTTAGACCTGCATTCGAAGGGTGACGTCTGAACCACAGCGCAGTCCCTGGTGGGTTTTCACAGACTCATATAAGGCTGTTTCTGAATGTAATTATGAATATGACGCCTTGGTGTTCCTTTTTATAATCAGCTGGTTGGAGAACTGATTATTAGCTGTACACAAGAATTCTGTAGGGGAGGGATGTGAAAGCTGTGCATTTTGCTTTAATGACAGGTTAAGGAGCAAACTTCCATGAACTTTTGTGGACAAGGTGCTGCCTTTTCTCATGACCCTGTAGAATTTCTATTGACCACATCAACTGTAGCTCTGACCTATATGAACGCAGGGAAGAATTTGTGCATACAAATGAGTGGAAACAAGAGCAGGATTCATGAATATGGATGAGGATGCGGATCATTGTGGAGAAAGTGCTGGGCACACGGGTCAAATGGAATTTTCGTTTCTCTAAGAAAATCACCCAACCAGCAGCACACTCGCTCTCTCTGTTCCCCATACCTGTGGGGCTTCCTCCAGAGCGGAACTGTTTCCTTCTTTCACATTGTAACTAGTCAAACCGGAAATTGGTAAATGAAATGAGCTTATAAGCACTTTTAGGTACCAATTGTATCACTAAGTAATGCACACCAGTAGAGCAAGAAAGTGTAAAATGTATTTAAGACCGACTGGTTTGCTTATCATGACTAACTGTAAAAGCCCAGATCCAATGACATATGTGCTTTAAAAGGTGTATCTATCATAGGACTAGAAATCAAAATAGGAATTTTACTTCTGGTCCTGTTTTGTAAATAGTTCCTTTTTTGTTTTTTAATTGAAGACAATCTCATGTTTTATAACTTTTCTTGTGAGTTTGAGAATCACAATAGTAATGTGTTGTGTC